AATGACTATTAACTTATATACAGAAACCCTATCAAACAATTGCTCTTTACGGTATTTTCAAGTTGAAACAAATAGTAGGAAAGCAAAGTTCATATGCTACAGTGAAGGCATATGAGAAGAAGTAGAAAGTATCTGAAATATTTATAATTTTCTGATAAAAAAAATCTATTTTCTTTACTTGATTTTAAAAATTAATTTAACTTGTGAAAACAATAAGAATGTGTAAATATTTTATATGCACACGTACTTGAAAATAATCAACGAAGAATTATTATTATTATTGCTGCTGAAAATATGTGGCAATATTTGCACAAAAAACCATTTTAAATCATTTCTGAAAACAACAAAAACAAAGTTTTACAAAACTTGTGGCAACCACAAAATTAAATTTTTTCAAGGCTTCCATGGCAAAGTTTTGTTGGAAAATCGTTTCCAAAAAAAAAAACAAATGTAAAACTATTTAAGTGCGTGTGCTGGGGTTCTACGTGCATCGATGTAGGTCTGTGAAGATACTTTGAATTCTGTTCACGCACGGCGTCCTACGTAGATATTTCAATGTGAAGAAAAGTTTATCTTTTAGTTACAGATGAAACTAATCTTATGAGTATATACAGGGTGTGTTGTTAAGATCTAAGAAATTCGTGATGGCATTTATTTTAAATGGAAATTTATGATTTATCTGCAAAAGATTTCAGCAAAATCCACTTAGTTTAAGGGATCACATCTATGTTGCACAATATGTAATTTCTTATAGTATTTTATTAGTGGTATGTTTTTGTTAATTCAATATATGTTAGTAGTTGTTTAAAGTATTGCATATATAGCACAGATTATTCACAAATAAAATAAGTAATGACCACAAACTACAGCTGCATATCAGTAACTCCAGTCGGACTTATATTTATAATAAATTATAAATCATGTACCTAAATTTTAATAGAATACTTCTGATTATAATATTTAGAAGACAAATCCAGATAATTATCTATACAAGGAAAATTTTAGAAAAATAACTTCGCAATATACTTTCTGTATATTGTACTGTGTAAGTAACACTTAAGCTGCAGCTTACTTTTAAGCATCATAGTGTAGATAGGAAGAAAATAATCAAAGCTAACATTAATAACGTATGGAACAGGTTTTTCACAAATATTAATTTTAATCTGCAAATTAAATGAAAACTATTTGAAGCTATATGTGGAGTGATTACATCATACCTCATGTCTGTAGTTACAGAGGTTACAGAGTGAAGTTCATAAACTGCAACTTTACTTCAACAAAAAATTGTTAATACTTCCTGCAACAGCCCCATTATATATTATTGCCCTACAAATCAAAAAATAGAGAGTTTTATCTTTTTGCCTCGGGTACTTTCTCATTATTCAAGGTAACAAAAGTTATATGATCTGTTAAATCTTCACTTGAAATACTTTTACAAGACACTGCCAAAAATTCTGTTAAAAAAGACCAGAAAAAAATACCTCTAGGGCAAAAGAAATTAATATTTTCAATATTTTGAAGAAAGACTAATCGAATAATTCGAAGTAACTACAGAGAAGGCCTTGTACAATAAATATAAATATAAAAAACTCAACAAAAACTAAAAACAAAATAAGAAAGCCAAGTATATATCTATAACTACTTGGGTTTTGCAGTTAAGTCAAGGGATTCAGATTGTGTAGTAAAAATTATGAAACACTTAGAAATTTAGAGTAGAGTTTTTGTAATTTGGTTGTAACACAAGGTAATCTTTACTTCTTATAAGGTTTTTCGGAAAAGCCTATTTAAATAAAGTTCAACAATATTGATTGGAGGAACGTTACTACAATTAAAAAATATTCTTAAATAAAAAGTATATAGTATTTATTACTGGAATTTATTTTTGGGCTTCATTTTTTAAAAAAATTTTTACTTAAATTCCGAATGACGATCTTCAGAATCATGGTAGGGTTATATATTATCAAATGAAATATAACTAATACAGCATATATATAACATGTGCAAGATATCACCCAATATGACTGAAAGTTTTAGTTGTAGAAACACATAGCCAAAGGCTTCAAAAAATCATAAGAAGTTTTTAAAGTTCCATTGAGATTGACGCTTATGCAGTTGATAAACGAAAAAATCTAAAAACTGCTAGCCTAACAGTATTGAAGATAATTTTCAACCATTCCTCATACTTAAGCATATGAATGATTGAAAATTGTAGAACTTTTGAAAGTGTGGCGATATTTGATTGAACTAAACTGTTTTAGCAGATTTAAATTATCGTCCAAAACCAACACTATTCAAAGCAATAAATGAGACAAAAAACAGAAAGTGGAGAGAATCGATCTGTTGTAGTGTTCAGTGTTCTAATTAGTAACTTTAGAAATATTCTATTTAATTTTTCTTTATTTTTTTATTATTATTTTTTAAATTTTCATGTGGCAGGACCCGAGTTCGATTCCTGGTACTTGCAGTCTCAAAAATAATTATTTCCAATACTACTGATTAAGGGTATTTGGCAATACTCGAAACAGCTGTATGGTCAGCCAAAAATTCAATTAATTAAAATAATATAAAAAATAAAATTTTTGTTGTTGTAGTTCACTACTGTTCGAAAACCCCCTTTAAATTTTATATAAATTACTTTTTAACTGCACTTATAATTTTCATACAACAATCTATATCATATGCATTTTATCCGACTTGTGAAATCCTTCTCCTGAAAATATTAAGTAGGTGGGGGGAGGGGGGCATGTGTAAACTAAAGACCACACATATATGTGCTCCTAAGTATTGTATATTTGTCTTCAATTTTGATTTCTTTTTGTTTTTTCTCATTTTTCCAAAACATAAAATTTGATAAAAATTTCAATTTCCAAGCTCATTTACATTTGCATGGCGTGCCTGATAATATCGAGAAAATGTTCAAAATAAGAAAAAGTATTGCGACATGAAAAGGAAAATTGTTTTCATAAGAAAATTGAAAAACACATAAATTGCTTCTTTTTGGTTGTATCTCGTATCTCATAGCTGCTTGTGGCGAATGAAGTTGTTAAGTTAAAATTTATGTTTTTTGAAATAAAACATAAAAATTATAAAAGGTTTTGTTTGTAAAGTGAAATGTGTGACCCGCACGAAGCGAACTTCTATCGAATTTTAAAAATTACCATTTGAAGAAACAAAATATAATAATTTTTTTCGCTGTTCATAAACGCAACCGTTCAAGAATTAATTTAATTTTGCGAATCAGAACTAACAAAGACGTCAACATTATTTGTGAAAATACACATTTATTTAAAGATATTGAAATTATCTACATTACATATAAAGTTTATGCTCCAAAAATAAGTAATTTGATATTTAATTAATAGTTTTAATCCTGCATGTGTGAATATGTAGTCGTATGTAGTCAATTAGTTATTAATTTAAAAATTAATAACAGCAAATATGCTAACTAGTCGCGTCAAAGAAAATAAAAAAATAAAACTGGAAACAGTGACAGCTAACTGCACTAAAAAATGAAGGCAAGGAGCGCCTCGCTTAACCTTAACAATTTTATTGAATTTATTATTATAGAATGGCATAATAATACATTTGTTTAATATATTGATTTGCCAAA